GAGAACGGCTGACCGGGGAAATGAAGGCGACCACGCCCAGTAAGAAGAGAATGAGGCTATGTGTTGCGACATGCCATCGACGATGCGCGCATCCCAGGAGTCTGGCCACACGCGGCCACGATGATGGACGCGACGAAGAACCACGGTGATGCACACGATGAAGGTGGTGAGCCAGAAGCGGATCTCGCTCCTGTGGGTGGTGGCGATTCGTGGTCCAGCTCCCTCACGCATCCAGCATCCTTCAGCGAGCTGCAGTCACAAATGGGTGTTGTGTGAGGTGCATGACAGAGGGCATTCTTGTGAGCAAGTGGTGGTGCGCGGCAAGAAGGCGTTGCAGCAAGGGCAGACACAGAGTCAGTTGGAGGGATTCGGTTGGAGGAGGGAGTGGAGAAGAAGCAAGACGAAGCGACACGTACAAGTGCAAACACACACACACACACACACACACACACACACACACACACACACACACACACACACACACACACACACACACACACACACACACACACACACACACGTGTGACCATGTCGCGTAGGTCTCGTGCTTGATTTCCACACGGCGTGACGCATCATCAACATGCACCATTTGAACACCGGGCAGAGCCCTCAGCGTCGCCTGTCATGCATGTCCAACAACAGCAGCAGCAGCAGCAGCAGGAGGGTGAGAGGTTGAAGTGGAAAGCAGGCATGCGTGCACACAAGCAGGCATGCGTGCATGCAAGTAAAAGAGACAAGCAGAGATGCAGTGCCGCGCACATCGCATACCTCATGCTGAGGTACGTCATGTCTTGTGCTGGTGTATGCGTTTCCTCGCGGGCCTTTGTATCCGCCGACCTCGCCGATGCTGGCAATGATGGCTGCAGGGCTTCACCGGCGCGGTGCCAGTGAGCAGGCCCACACGACACAATGCTGTGCGCGCCGGGCATACGCCCTCAATGTTGGGTACGCACGAGGCGCACGACATGCCTGTAGTGCAGCGCAGCGGTCGATGCAGTGTGTACCAGCGAGAATTATGTGTGGAAGTGAGGAGGTGCCGAAGTGAGGATGCACACACACACACACACACACACACACACACACACACACACACACACACACACACACACACACACACACACACACACACACACACACACACAAAAGTGCATGCACGCACCCCAGAGGCATGGGAAGCTGCTGCTGTGCTGGGGTGGGGTGATGGCTTCCGAAGAGTGTCGGCAACAGCGTGTTGGCGGTTGTCGGAGGGCGCCGATTCCCCGTTCTCAGGTGTGCTCGAAACTGAAGTGGAGGAGGTGGACACCTCATCAACAGCCTGCTCCTACTCACGCTGATTTCGCGGTGAGACGATTTCAACGGAGTACCCGCCCGTCGCGTACAATGTCTGCCAGCTTGCCTGATGACATCTCTGCAAGCTGTTCAACAGCAACCGTGTTGTCTTCAATCATGAGTGTGGTCTTGATCACCGTTGGCCCGACACTACTGCTGTCACTGAAGGTGGCCGCAATGCTCTGAGCACACGAGCCACACAACACGGTGGACTTTGCCTGAGGAGACGCCATGGCTGTTGTTGCTGTGGTGGTGGTGGAGTCGATTGGCCACATACAGCAGCAGCAGCAGGTTCACGTTGTTCTTCTGCTGCTCCATCCACGGTCTGGCAGCTGGCTCACACTCAACATCACGCATGCTTGCACCTGTCCTGGTGAAGGAGGAGCACGCCGTGTTAGTGGAGAGGAGGCGCTGCGCGCATGCATGCTGGTGCCAACCAGACGGAGGGAGGAAAGGCACACACTCCTCATGATACCGGCAGCAGTGGCTGGGGAGTGTCTTGGACAGAGAGGGACAGCTGCATCACACACGTACATCAGGTGCACCTGTGTGCGTCCTTGTCTGCATGGACACTATGTTCACAGAGGCACGAGGCAGCGTGGTGAAGGTGGCGGGAGGACGAGAGCGACACGACGTCAGATGCGACGCAAGACACGAGAGGAGGTGAGGTACATCAGCACAGGCTGGGGGTGATGGAAGAGAGGCAGACGATGCGTGAGCACGTGTCATATGAAGCAATGTGTGATGTATGTGTGCGTATGCGTTTACGTGTGTTGCGTAGACGAGGGTGAGCAATGCAATGCAATGGAATGACCTCACGCACACTCACACACACACACGCACCTGTGGGTGCAAGGGTATTCTTCAGTCACGATGCCTGCCTCCTTGACATGCGTTCAATTCACCCCCTTGTTTTGCACTGCGTGATGAAGCTGTGGAGTGCAACACAGCAAGACACCGACATCGTGTGCCGTGTGTGCTCTGTCCTTGTTGGTCCAGTGATGAGCTGATGAAGGCAAGGCCGCTGGAAGGAAGGATGGAAGGAAGGAAGGAAGGATGGAAGGAAGGCTGAGGGATGGAGGGATGGATGCGTTTCAACGTGCTTCCTTTCCACAAACACACACACACACAACAGTGAACTTGCTTGCTTGTGTGTGGCTGGAAATCCAATGCACGATTCCCAACAATCGTCCACAACCACAACCAGCCAAAACGCCACAAACAAACAACAAACAATCCAATCCTGTCTTCTCTTCTTCTCTTGGTGCTGCGCCTGTCCTGCGAACAGACACAAGAACGAGGAAGGAGGGAGGCACACTTAACTTCTACTTCTCCTTCTACTCTTCTCCTCTTCTCCTCTCTTCTACTTCTTCTCTGCCTATATGGTGAGAACGATGGGGTGCCTGCAGGCACGTGGGATGTTGCTGCTTCCCGTGCTGGTGGCGGTTGCAGTGTGCTGGATGCCGCTCCTCAGCAGCGTTGTTGGAGAGGTGACGCTGGAGGAGGATGATGCGGGCGCGTTTCACATCAACACAAGCGATCCAATGAGCCAGCCCGTGTTTGTGAATGGTGTGAACGTGCACGAGACGCTCAGCATGTTGATGAGCACCGTGTCGGCGCAGCAGAGCATCAACGGTGAGCTCTGCCATCTGAAGAGGCGTGCCATGACGTTTGGCCAGCTCGGCTCAATGGGTGCAAAATGGCTTGGGGGCGTATTGGCCAACAACGGTCTGATCTATGCCGCGCCATTCAACTCCCCTTCTGTTCTCATCATTGACCCTAGCTCAAACAACGTCGACACGACCACAATCTCTGGGCTTGGAACAGACAACGACAAATGGAGTGGTGCTGTGTTGGCACACAACAGCCTCATTTACATGTTCCCTTCAAACAGGGAGACGATGCTCATCATCGACCCAGACACCAACACGGTTGACACCACAAGCATCCACTCAGTCGGGTCCCGTGGCCGCAAGTGGTACAGTGGTGTGGTGGCCAGAAACGGCCTCATATTTGGCATCCCCCTGGCTGCCACGTCTGTGCTGATCATCGACCCCGAGACCAACACAGCCGACATCACCACGCTGTCCGGGCTGTCGAGCCAGCTGTACAAATGGTACGATGGCGTGCAAGCGGACAACGGTCTCATCTACTGCATTCCACGGGATGCGACAAGCGTCCTCATCATCAACCCTGTCTCTCTCACGATGGACCTCACCACCATTAGCGGCCTGGGTTCCACAAGCGACAAGTGGTTCGGCGGTGTGCTTGCACGCAACGGTCTCATCTACACCATCCCAGGCCGTGTTGCAACGACACTCGTCATAAACCCAGCCACCAACGCAACCGACGAGCTTGTCATTGCAGCCGCAACCAGCTTTCGAAAGTGGGTTGGTGGTGTGCTCGCACCCAACGGCAACATCATCGGTATCCCAAATGGCTCAAATTCTGTCCTCATCTTAGATCCAACCTTAAACACCACCGACACCACGACCATCAGCGGTCTTAGCGGCAACAACAAGTGGTTCGACGGGGTGCTCGCTCCAAACGGCCTCATCTACGGCATCCCGCATTCTGCACAGTCTGTCCTTGTCATTGACCCAGGATGCTGATGTGTGTGTGTATGTGTGTGCACATATGTGTGCCCTTTCTGCACCTCTTTCGTTTTCGTCACCATTGTTACTGCATCCTGCATCACCCAATGTTCCTCCTTCAATGCCTCCTGTGCACCTGACGCTGCCCATCGTTCTTTTGCTTCCAACTGAAACGACTCAACCCCCAACCGAATACGTGCATTGGGATAGCGGAAGAAGCTGTTCCACAACTGTGGAACACGAAGTGTTCATGCCGGGGAAGAAAGAACACTTCCAGTACAACAAGACAATCGCAGTTCTTCGGGTCATCAGCACGCATGCCAATGAACTTCCATCCACGTTACATCAGCATGGGGTTCAACACGGATTCAACCGCACATTTATACACCCCCACCCTCTCTTCCACCAACGCACTCTACCTTCATTGTTCGGTTCACACACGTGCATTGTTTAGTTCACAACAACTGCCACGGTTAAGCTTGTTAGCAACGCGCACACTCAATCAAGAACGAATGCGCTGAGTGCGAGCATGTATTCCCTCACATAAGACACGACAAAGAAGAAAAGGAAAGATGGTCCAAGGAACAAATACACACACACACGCACGCACACACACACACACACGCAAATCAACAAACGTGCGCAATCCCGCACGCAAGTCCAAACGCGAGCTTGGTTAGCTGCAAGGAATGTAAATGACGAACGGCGTTGTGCAGTCTTGCACAACAACACCAACAAAGAACAGGAGGGAAGGGGAGGGAAGAAAAACAAACGCAAAGCAGGCCAACACCACCCGCTACGAACAACACTCACCACGAAACAAACCGCTCCGCAGCCTCGATAACGCGAGACAACCAAACTGGCGTACCAAACCAACCCAACTGTCACTAGCCTAGCTGAGTCGTTCAAGAAGGCACCAGCGACCTGACGATAGCCAAGGCTGAGACAAATACGTTTGCTGGCATTGCCAAGAATGTTGTGGTTGTTGTTGTTAATGTTGGGGCTGTTGTTGGGGTGGGGGCTGCCTCTGATTCCGTACGCCCCGTAGCCGTTGTTCTCAGCGACAGCACCATCATCACCAGAAACATCATTTTGGGGTGGCAGGGGTCGTTGTGATTGATCGCCACCGTGACCAGCACCACCATCAAGTAGTGGACCATCACCACCATCACGTGGTGGACCATCACCATCCTCATCCCCAGCCGTGAGTCGCATGCCCCTCGCTCCAGCATCTTCCACGTCCGCAGTAGCATCATCTCCACGGTCGCCATCACTCTCACGCTCCCAGACGACTGGCGCGTCATCTTCTTCTTCCTCTTCCTCCTCTTCATCATCCACTTCCTCCTCAACATCAACAGCATCATCGGCAAAGGAGATGGTGTACTCCGGGAAGCACATGCCGTTGTCATAGATGACAAACATGTCCGTATCGCCGTCGAAACCGCGAACGGAATCGTATAGCACGCTCCCAGCAGCAGCAAAAGCAGTCGTGCGTCCACCAGGACCTTCAGCACCACCCGAGGTCCCTTCACCAGCGGCAACTCGGCCAATTCCTTCTCCTTCGTCACCATGGCGAGCAGCAGCAGAAACAGCAGTTGGAGTGACACCATGATCAGCAACGCCAGCAGCAACGTCATTCAACTGGGGCGTCGACACATCGACATACACGCACCGCTCGCTGGTGGTGTCGTTTTTGTCTGTTGTGCTGCCCTCGTGGTGGCCATACTTGACAGCAAACGACGGGTCGCGGCTGAAATACAGGCCCGAGCCAAAGTAGCCTTCCGCGCTGGCGTAGTTGATGGTCAGGCCAAGCTCGCTCTTGCAGATAACGTGCAGCAGGCGGTGCGCAAATACGTTGTAGTCGTCGTTGTCGTCGCCAGAGAGCGGCGCAATGTCGTTGGACAGGTTTGGTGGCGCGGGCCGCCAGTACACGCGCTGCACGCTCTCCAAGTACCGCTTGAACAGTGGCACGTTCTGCACACGGTGCACGCGCAGGTTTCGGGGGCGAAGCGGCTCCAACAGGGCGCGCACGCGGCCCAGCTCATCCTCGTTGGTTACGTCGACAAGCAGCTGGCCCTTGCGCATGTCCCAGCGGTCAGGAATCTCAAAGATGGCCTGTGGCTTCAGCTTCGACCGCTGCTCGTCCAACCACCCGCCGCACGCGCTCAATCTCAGGCGTAGGTCGTTCATGTGCATGCCCACGTGCTCCACTCACGTACACCCAGTGGTCCTGGAAGTCCACCGTGAAGTAGCGGTCAACCAGTTTGATCTTGAAGAAGCGCGCCGACTTCCACGCCTTGCGGTTCTTGTACTCCAGCCACCGCCACATAACATCTGGTTCAACCGTCCGGCGCATGTTGCGCTCGTCCTCCGCAGCCGCAGTTAGTTGCACGGGCGTCGGCAACCAAGCAGGCGGCCTCCTCTTCACTCATCTTGTAGTGCTCCTTGTGCAGGAACTTGTCGGGGAAGCGCCCGCACGGCTTGGTCATCATCAACTTGAGCATCTCGCGCACATGCTCCACAGCAACGCCGCCATCACTGCGCTTGCCGACGCTGCCGCTCTGGCCATCACCACCACCACCACCAACATCATCATCATCATCATCATCATCATCATCATCATCATCGTCATCATCATCATCATTGCTGCGCTTGCGCTCAGCAGCGATGGCAGCCCGGTGCTTGTTGAAGCCGTTCTCAATCAGCAGAGTGTCGTCGTGTGTAAACCCGTTCCACGCCGCCTTGTTGTGCAGCTCCGCCTTGGAGGGCGGCTCCGTGTACGTTGGGTCCGTGTACAGCCACGTGTGGATGGGATCAGCTGGCCGGCGCATCGACCAAACCATCCAGTGCGCTGCGCTGCAGGTCCTCATACAGCCCACTGCCCACCTTCTCGCCATAGTACTTCTCAAACGTCTGCTTAAACGCCGACAGCGTGCTCACGTCCTTGGTGATGATGGTCACGCGGATGGTGTCGAAGAAAGAATGTGCCGTCGCGGTCCACCTCGTCAATCACCTCAAGCAGCGGAAGGCGCCGCAGCCGAGCGCGCACGTGGCAAGCGAGCGAATGTTGTTGTCCCGCGCCAACCTCAGCAGCGCGCGGTACGCCGTCGTCAGGTCCGCAGCCGTCTGCGTCACCGTGTTGCCAAACTCGGGTGCAAAGTTTGGCGCAACCATATGCAGCACGTGCTCAATGTTGGACGAGAGGGCCAGCGCACCGGACGTGGGCACGCGCGCCTCGTTGTACCGCAAGGCGGCCCGCTCGTCTCGGCGTTCATGTCGCGGTCGTTGATGATGCTTCCCTCGCGAATCTACGCGTGCAGCTGCACCGCGGGCAGCGTCTCGCTGATGGCGTGGTACTGGTATGGCTCCACCTCCCACACGGCCTGCTTCACCTTGGCCGGGAACAGCCTCTCGTACGTGGTCAGCAGCAGCACCACCGACGCCGCCGCCATCTCCTTGCGCAGTCCTTCAAGGCACTGCGTGGGCACTGAAGTCGACAGGCTGTCACCCCTGCCAGAATCGTACGTGCCCTGTGCTCGCTGTTGTGATCCGACTCCTGGGTGCGCTGCCTGCTCACTCAAGCCAACCCCATCGCCGCCAGCAGCAGAAGAAGCAGTGGAAATAGCAACAGCAGTCCCAGCAGAATTTGCCGAAGCAGCGCCCGCGTATGCGGTATAACCGGCATCAGCACCAACGCCTTCTTGCGCAGCCGCTTCAGCTTGCTGTCCAGCAACCAGCTCCTTGGCCACGGACATGGGCACCTGGCACCCGTACCACGTGGGCTGAATGTGGGCGATGGTGCGGAACGTCGACTCCGTCGTTGGGATGACTGTCTGCATCACATCGCGGCGGCCAGCCACCATCCACACGTTGCGCTTAGAGGACGTGCCAATCACGTCCTGTGGCGCAACGTAGCTCACCACGCCGTCCTTGCTGCGGCACAGCGTGCGACTGGCCTTGGTCAGGTAGTTGAACAGCTTGCGCTTCAGGAAGGTGACGTCCGCCTCGGACATCTCCAGTACGTGCGACGTGTCAATGACCGGCAGGCCGAGCATGTGGCACAGGTAGTCCTTGAGCGTGTCCTGCACCGCGTTGTCAAACGCCGTCAGCTGCCGTTGCATGCCCTCCACGGTCACGGGCACGCTTGAGGGGCACGCTCGAGGCGCACGCGTCCCTGTCCTCTGCGCTGGGCTTGCGCACATACACGCGGAACCTGCGGGCCAGCCCCAGCAGCTGCGAATGTAGGAAGCGGTATTGCATGCCCGTGACGCTGATCTTCATCTGCGACTTGATGTTGGCGCCGACGGTGCTGTTGATGTAGCTGAGCCCGCGCTCCCTGTCCTGATCCAGGTAGTAGTACAGCGAGTACTCCAGCAGCATGACGCGGCGCCGTCCAGGTCGCACGTGTGTATCAGCGCCTGCTGGGGTGCCACGGGCGATGCGATGGGCGGGGTGCTGGTGACGGGCGGCGGCCGCACAAACGCCACACATCCCGCATGGCCCCGTGTGCCGTGTCGGCGTGGGGCAGCAGGTCAAGCGTCGGGTAGCGCACCAGCTTGAGGCCGTAGTCGTTCAGGACGTGCTCCATGATCTTGTCGTCGCCCAGCACGCGGTCGCTGCGGGCAAACGGGTGGAAGGCGGGCGCGAGGAAGCTTGCAAGCAGCTTGGCCTGCGACCACACCAGCACGGCAGTGCTGCCTGTGAAGCAGATGCGGTTGCCCGTGGTTGCAGCCGCCAGCACATCAAGGTCCTTGGCCACGCTGCTCTTGTTGAATGCGTCGACGAGGTCCGACAGGAGACCGCCCAGCTTGGGGTCGAGCACCGCCACGTGCACGTCGTTCGGGTGGCACAGCCGCGCCAAAAACGTGTGCGAGACAGAGGTGGCAAATTGTATCTTGCGCACGTACGCATGCGCCGCACGCGTGTCTGTCATCTCCAGCACAAACACGCGCTGCAGCGTGGTCTCAGAGGACGCGCCGCCGCTTTTGCTGTCGTCGCTGTCAGCATCGTCTTCTTTCTTGTACTGATGAGGGTCGTGCACAGCCGTGGGCTTGACAGCAACATTGTGTGCCTCACTGCCACCTCCACCATCCTGCTGTTGTTCTCCTTTGTTCTTGTAGTTGTTCAGCCATGCGCGTGTTGGCAAACGGCTGGGTGCGGGACAGCGTGTCCTTGAGGGACTGTGGGATGGGCACAAGCTTCGCCGTGCCGCCAGAGTTCGTCTCAGACGCCTGCACAATGTCGCGGCCAGTGGTGGGCTTGCTGTGCAAGGTGCACGTGACGACAATGCGGTGCAGCGGTGCCTGGCGCGCCTCCAGACGACAGGCGCTCGCTGCCGTGTCAATGGGCAGTGGCAGCAGGCTCCGGAACGCCTCCTCGCTGTCGGCGACCACGTCAACGCTTGCACAGCGCAGGTCCGGGAAGACCTGCAGCGACTGGACGTTGACGCCGGCGTGCTCCAGCGTCGCCTGCACGCTGCGGTACGTGTCGGTTGGCCAGGGCATGGCGACAGGCAGGCCTTTTGCCGTCACGCTGCCTGGCTGCCTCGGTCAGGCAGAATGTGATGCACTTTGCCTGGCCGCAACAGGCGTCGGCGTGATGGATGTTGGCGAGGCAGGGGAGGAGGATGTGGAGCCTCTGCCCTTGCTCTTCCAGTTCTTTGCCTTTTGGGTCTGGGAACACGTTCAGCTTCGTGCCCAGCAAGTCTCGCTAATCGTACAGGCAGACCATCAGCTCCGCACTCTCCCGCGACACAAGCCTGTTGCGAGGGAGGGGGAGGGGGGTTGGTTGGTTGAGGGAAGGACACGCATGCTCATGCAGAATGAAGTTGACGGAGCATCTGTGCATGCACACGCACACACACGCACACACACGCACACACACACACACACACGCACACACACACACACACACACACACACACACACACACACACACACACACACACACACACATCGCCGACCTGAATGTGCCCCTGACGCGGTGACTGTCCGGCTTGTGCGTGTGCGAGTGAAAGCCGCCGTTTGCCTTGGCGAGCGAGGGCAGCACCTCCTCGAGACCTTCGGGCACGGGCTCAACCCACACGGACCACAGCTCGTCCGCCGTCCAGGCGGGGCAGTCCGAGTCGCGGCGGGCCGTCAGCTGCACCTGCCCAATCGGGAAGTTCGTCATCTCCCTCAGGATGCGCTCGCCAACGTCACGCGTCGCACAGCTGCACATGTGTGTGTGTGTTTGAGTGAGTTGAGGGTGTATCGGTGCGGAATGTCGAGAGGAACTGCACAATTTTGACTGCCGCATCCTCGCGCCATTACCCGCCACCACATGTCGTCATTTCCATCATGATCCTCGCATGCAACGAACACCTCCTCAACCGGTTACAATCCCTCAACATTACCGCACACCTCCAACCAGTCAGCAGCAGCTCACCTGACGCGGGCAACCTGCCCCTGATGCTCGTCCAGTGGTGTGATGCTGATGACGCCCTGCTGCTTCCCAAGGAGCGCGCGCACCAGCTCAAGCATGCCCGTGTGGTGCACAAGCACGTCAAACGGCCCAAGCGACGCCTCATCAACCTCTCCCTCGTCGCCATGTGCCGGTGGTTGTGCTGCTGTTGTGTATGGCTCCGGCTCGCGGCTCACTGACGGCTGCTGGGTAAATGGCTCGTACTGTTGCGCATGGTCGTGGGTGATGATGGGTGACGAGGGGTAAGAAGTGTTGAGAACGAGAAGCATCGTGCCTTTGGGGACGTTACACCCGCCACTGGTGCCCCTTTCCCAAGAGGAAACGAGCTTCTCGAATCCCCTCTCTCCCATTCCCAAACACACGCACGCAAGCGCATGTGCACCTGTATCGGGGGCAAAGTCGTTGAGCGGGTCCTTCGTGGTGATGCGCACCTGGATGCTGAATCCGCAGGTGGCAATTGCGTCCTGTTCGAACTCAATCATCTTACAGCGTCGCGCCGCCACCAAACTTCAGCTGCGATTGCACAAGGTCAACGCCAGTAGTCACCTGGTGGGAAGAATAAAGGAGGGAGAAGGAGAGGAAGGAGATGATGGAGGAAGTGTAAGTGAGGTGGGGGAGGAATGAAGCAGAACAGACGCCACAAACATCAAAGTGGACAAAGCACCATCAACAGTGCTGCTTCACCGAACCACCACAGCTCACCATCTCCGCGACGATGTGCTCGGCTTGAATGCGCGGGTTCACCCCCATGAAGTCATGACTGCACCACACTATTGCGCGCGTTGGATGGTTGGCATGAGCGTTGGGGCAGGTGCGATTATGTTTGTCAACACCAAACGAGTGCATGCACGCACCACAACACCATATCTCCACCCCCAACACCCCAACACCACACTGCTACACTGGCTCACCGGCCATCGGATGTGTCGACAAGGACCTCGACGGTGTCGGTGTTGCGGTGGTTGGTAGGAGGGAGAGGCCAAGCGCAACAGCGTCCTGAGGGCAGGAGAGGGGGGAAGGGAGAGGGAGGGAAGTAGCAGACGTGAGAGAGAGGAGAGGAACAGGGTTGAGGGACGATCACAGGTGAGGTGCGTTTGTTACGACCACAGCACGCACACATGCGCGCGCACACACAGACACACACAAACACACTCACAAATGCACATGAGGCAAACCTGGCAGAGGTGTTGGCGGACATCGGAGGCGCGGGGAAAGGGGCAACCTTAACGACCCTGACAACACAAATGGTGATGCGCGTGCATGGGCATGAGGTCGGATGTAGGTGATGATGAGTGTTGTAGATCACAGCAGTGGTACGCTTCTTACAGACACACACACACACACCTTTTGCTCCTTGGCGATGCAGACAACGTCGTCGAAAGTGAGGTAGGCGGCAATGGGGGCTTTGACGGTGCACAGCATGTACGATTCATCAGCCTTGCAACGCTGCACGGATCTGAGACGAGGAAGGAAGCGTTGCAGGCGAGTGAGTGTGTGTGTGATGTATGTGTGCGTATGCGCTTACGTGTGTTGAGCACACAAGGCTGAGCAATGCAATGCAATGCAATGTAATGGAATGACCTCACACACACTCACACACACGCACCTTTGGATGAACAGTGTATTCTTCAGTCACGATGGCTGCCTCCTTCACATGTGTTCAACTCACGCCCTTCTTCTGCACTGCGTGATGAAGCTGTGTGCTGTGTGTGCTCTGTCCTTGTCGGTTCAGTGATGAGCTGATAAAGGTAAGGAAGGCTGAGGGAAGGAAGGAGGGCTGAGGGATGGATGGATGGATGCGTTTCAACGTGCTTCCTTTCCCCAACAAACACACAACAAACAACAGTCAGTGAACTTGCTTGCTTGTGTGTGGCTGGAAATCCAATGCACGATTCCCAACAATCGTCCACAACCACAACCAGCCAAAACGCAACAAACGAACAACAAACAAACCAATCCTGTCTTCTCTTGTCTTGGTGGTGCGCCTGTCCTGCGAACAGACACAAGAACGAGGAAGGAGGAAGGCACACTTCACTTCTACTTCTGTTCTCTCCTTCTCCTTCTCCTCTTCTCCTAGTCTCCTCTTCTTCTGTTCTTCTTCACTCACCCGGACCGATGAGAACGATGGGGTGCCTGCAGGCACGTGGGATGATGCTGCTCCCCGTGCTGCTGGCGGCGGCGGCGGCAGTGTGCTGGATGCCGTTCATCAGCAGCGTTGTTGGAGAGGTGGTGTTTGTGGAGGATGATGCGGGCGCGCTTCACATCAACACCAGCGATCCCATGAGCCAGCCCGTGTTCGTGAACGGCATGAACGTGGATGGATTGTTCGAGACAATGGCCACGCTGTTGCGGACAGTCTCAAAGCAGCAGAGTACGATTGATGCACAGAAGAGTACGAATGATGCGCTACAGATTACTGTCTCCGCGCAGCAGAGGGCGATTGAGGTTCAGCAGAACACCATCGACCGCGTCCGTGGCAAAGTGTGTTCCCCAAGTGCCATGACATTTGGCCAGCTCGGCTCGATGGGTGCAAAATGGATTGGCGGCGTACTGGCCAAGGTATGGCGGCGTGCAAGCAGACAACGGCCTCATCTACTGTATTCCTACGGCAGCTTCTTCCGTCCTCATCATCAACCCTGAGTCCTTGACGATGGATCACACCACCATCAGCGGCCTGAGTTCCACTGATTTCAAATGGTATGGCGGCGTGCTGGCACGGAACGGCCTCATCTACACCATCCCATCTCACTCTGCGACGGCACTTGTCATCGACCCGCCCACCAACACCACTGAACAGCTGCCTGTCGCCGAGGAAACAAGCTTTGACAAGTGGGTTGGTGGCGTGCTCGCACCCAACGGCAACGTCATCGGTATCCCATACAGCTCACATGCAGTCCTCAACTTTGATCCAACCACCCACGTTATCGACACGACAACACACATTACACTTGGCGGAAGTGCCGAGTGGTATGATGGCGTGCTTGCTCCAAACGGCCTCATCTACGGCATTCCATCTTACGTCGAGTCTGTCCTCGTCATCGACCCGGGATGCTGATGTTGCATGTGTGTGTGTGTGTGTGTGTGTGTGTGTGTGTGTGTGTGTGTGTGTGTGTGTGTGTGTGTGTGTGTGTGTGTGTGTGTGTGTGTGTGTGTGTGTGTGTGGCTGGGCTGGCTGAAGACCAGAACAAGTGGCACGGCGGCATCCAAGCCCCCAACGGGCTCATCTACTGCATTCCTGTCGCTGCCACCTCCATTCTCGTCATTGATCCTGAAGCTCTTGCTTTCGATGAGCTGCGGCTGGATGGAGGAAACGTCGAGTCCAAATGGTACGGTGGCGTGCTTGCAGGGAATGGGCTGATCTACGGCATCCCGTCGAATAGCGCGTCGATGCTCATCATTGACCCAGCGACGAACGCGACAGACACGCTCGTGGTTGCAAGTGAGACTTCCTCTGCAAAGTGGGTTGGCGGCGTGCTCGCGCCCAACGGCGACATCATCGGCATCCCCTACAACTCGCCAGCCGTGCTCATCATTGATCCAACCACCAACACCACGGACACGACGACAATTGCTGGACTGGATGGATTGGGCAAGGGGTGGGGCGGCGTGCTTGCTGGCAACGGGCTTGTGTACGGCATGCCATATGCTGCCAATGCTGTCCTCGTCATCGACCCTGGGTGCTGATGCGCGGGTTTGTGAGTGAGTGAGTGAGTGAGTGAGTGAGTGAGTGTGTGAGTGAGTGAATGTGTGTGTATGTGTGTGTGTGTGCGCGCGAGTGGGTAAGTGAGTGAGTGAGTGAGTGAGTGTGTGAGTGTGTGAGTGAGTGAGTATGTGTGTGTGTGTGAGTGTATGCGTGTGTGAGTGCATGCGTCTGCTCGTATGCTTTTGTGCATCCACCTGCTAGCCCCTCCCTTCTTCTCTTCTTTGCGCGCTTTCCTTAGTTCCTTTCCTTTCCTCGCTTGTTTGCTTGCACTTTGTTATCACCCTGTATTATTCGCCAGTGCCTTGCACTTTCTTGGCTTCACGCACCAATAAACGCTTCCTTGTCTGTCCCGGCTTTCCTCCACCATTGTGTACTGTGCTCCAGCCTCATGCGGGCGGCGCAATCTCCACATGAGCACGAACACAAGCACATACGCCTTCCCATCAAGCGTAAGACCACATCAAGTACAACACAGGCAGTTGGAGCAACGCCCGTAGGCTTGCTCAAGACTTTGTCATAGGCAGGCAACTGTGAAGAGAGCAAGGCATGGCCATCAGCACACACTTCACTGGGTTGCCTACCTACCCCCATACACACACAAGACACACACAAGACACATACAAGACACATACAAGACACACACACACACACACACACACACACACACACACACACACACACACACACGCAAGACACACAAAACACACACACATACACACATACACACACACACACACACACACACACACACACACACACACACACACACACACACACATGCCGTCGGCCACGGCAGGTGCGCTGCTGTCATCGCCATTCCTTACGTGAGAGATGCGGTTCTGTCGATGTCAATGGCGAGACGATGGCGTTCACATCAATGAGGATGGTGATGAGGATGAGGATGAGGATGAGGGTTGGCTGGCCCAGGGGCGAGCGGGACGGTGGCCGCGTTGGAACCGTTCCCGTTGGGCAGGAGGCCAATGGCACCACGGGCATGACCGCCTCTGCCGCTGGTGTTTGCAGGGCCAGGGGCGCGACGGATATTGACGGCGCCTTCCTGCTGTGCGTGTTCGTCAGCGGAGGCTTCTTCAAAGCCCTCGTCAGCAACAGGAGGAGGGGTTTCGCGCCGCCGGCGCCGACGCCGTCGTCTTTGCTGCTGTTGTTCCCGTCTCCAGTGCTGCTCCTGATGCAGCAGCAGCAGTTGTTGGTGCTGTCTCCAGTGTTGCTCCTGCTGCTGGTGTCTCCAATGTAGCGCGTGTTGTTGTTCCTGTCTCCACTGCTGCAGTTGCTGCTCCTGATGTAGCTGATGCAGCAGCAGCTCCTGATGGTGCGGCTGTTGCAGTTGCTGCTCCTGATGTTGCTGATGCAGTTGCAGCTCCTGATGCGGCTGTTGCAGCTCCTGATGATGATGCAGTTGTTGTTGATGATGCGGCTGTTGCAGCTGTTGCAGTTGCTGCGGCTGATGATGATGATGATGCTGATGCTGCAGTTGAAGCTCCTGATGATGCAGCTGTTGATGCAGCTGTTGTTGCTGCTGCAGCTCCTGATGTGGATGTTGTTGATGGTGCTGCTGTTGCAGCTGATGCTGATGCTGCAGTTGAAGCTGATGATGCAGTTGTTGCAGCTGATGATGATGCAGTTGTTGTTGATGATGCGGCTGCTGCAGCTCCTGATGATGATGCAGTTGTTGTTGGTGATGCGGCTGCTGCAGCTCCTGATGATGATGCAGTTGAAGCTCCTGATGATGCAGCTGTTGCAGTTGCTGCGGCTGAATCTCCTGATGCGGCTGTTGTTGATGGTGCTGCTGTTGCAGCTGATGCTGATGCTGCAGTTGAAGCTGATGCAGCTCCTGATGCGGTTGTTGCAGCTGTTGTTGATGCAGCTGTTGCAGCTGATGATGTAGCTGTTGCTGCTGCTGCGGCTGCTGATGCAGCTGTTGTTGCTGAAGCGGCTGTTGCTGCGGTTGCAGTTGCCCCTGATGCTGCTGATGCAGTTGCTGGTCCTGTTGCCGGTGTTGTTCCCGTCTCCAGTGCTGCTGTCGCCGCCGCCGCTGCTGCTGCTGTCCCTGTTGCTGCTGTCCCTGTTGCTGCTGTCCCTGTTGCTGCTGATGCAGATGTTGTTGCTGCTGATGCCGCTGCCGCCGGCGCCGGGTCCGGGACTCCAGCTGTTCGAGCCTCACATCATTCAGGAACCAGAGTCGTATGACGCGTACCACGCCGCCGGGGAACTCTTCAGTGAACACCAATTCCTGCGACCGCCAGGAAGGAGGGAAGGCCCAAAGTGCATTTTCATCACGATTCAAGACGTGAGAGCCACGGTGCAGAAGAGAACAGGCATGAGTCGATAGTTATGCATGCATGCAAGCAAGCAGAAAATGAGCAGCAAACGGCAGCGTGTGGGGTAGTGTATTGCATGTCGGCAAGCAGACAAGGCCAGTGTATGTAGAGAGGGGTGACGGAGAGGCTAGAAGTTTAGGTAAAGGTGATATGGAGTACGATCATGCACGCATGCACCTCGTGCGAGGGAGGAGGTCGTGGTTCCATCCTCGATTGTGGTGCAGGACAAGTGTGTGGAATTTGGCCTCCTGTGTGTGTGTGTGTGCTGTGCCGTGAGCGAAGAGACAGTGGGCGTCGTTGCACAAACAAGCAATATGAGTTGTGGTTTCGGGATGGATCGCAGGGAATGAGCAGGAGAAGCATGAATCTCGCGTGAGCACAGCATAACCAAGAAGGCCAAGCATCATCACTCGCTTCTCCGCACACACACACACACACACTTCTTACTTTGCGCTGTGTAGCTTGAGATTGACTGAGCAAAAGAGAAAATGACGGCTTCACACGGCCACGCGCACGCGCTTCACACCTGCGAACCCAAGCAACCCAACAAGAGAACCAAGAAGCAAGACGTTAGCAAACGAAACAGAGGGAGACACCAGAGAGACCGTTGCACCCACAGCAGAGGAAAATTCACACACACACACACACACACACACACACACACACACACACACACACACACACACACACACACACACACACAAACAGCAAGCACAGTAATAATATTTCGCGCCATTGTCTCGCATTGTATGCGAGTGTGTCCGGTGCTGGGCCGGTGTGCCCGAGGAGGTGGTGTGCATGTCATGCAACAGAGAACAAGAGAACACGAATGACATCACAGAGAGAGCAACAGCAAGGCCACGCAAGTGCTTGCTGTGATGTCCTGAGACCTCAAGACCACCGCTGCACTGACCGTTACATGAAGTCCGCGAAACGTCATCACGCCTTGTCGACCGTTTGTGGAGAACAAAGGCCCATAGCACACCAGTCACGACAGCACATCAGGTGACCACGTGCCATCTTGAGAGACGCATCGTCGCGGTGAGACCGCGCAGGAGAAGCAGCATGCAGTGCTACGCCATCACCACCACCACCGCACACAACGAGGGAACGCGGTCATCACAGCCACAACAGCCGTTTGTTCCATCCACCACAGCTTGAATTTTCCCGGTGCCATTGTGGAAGAATTGCCAAATCTTCCGTCAAAATTCAGCAGATCGGCGGAACGTGATGAGTGGCAGAGGCTTGAGTGGTGGTGCTGTGGTGCGTGGGAGTGGGCGATGCCTTGCTCGCCGCGGTGCTTGGACTGAGGCGGGGCTGGCGGCGTTTGGAAGCCACGTGGTGGTGCTGAGGATGATGTCAGGGCATCGCACTGTGGCGTCCCTGTGCACGGCTTGGCCGGTACCCACGGCGCTGGAGCCGGTGCTCGCGTTTCCTCAAGCACAACCAGGGCAGCCCCAGCCCACCATCGCCCACGTGGACGACGCGTGCTTGCTGCCCAGCATCACCTGGGGCGCCCTCGAGTCACGCATTTCTGCCGCAAAGTCTAAAAGGGCGACAAAGCACAGGACTGCTCGCATCAAGCAGCAGCAGCAGCAGCAACAACAACAACAACAACAACAACAACAACAACAACAACAACAACAACAACAACAACAACAACAACAACAACAACAACAACAACAACAACAACAACAACAACAACAACAACAACAACGACAACAACAACAACAACAACAACAACAACAACAACAACAACAACAACAACAACAACAACAACAACAACAACAACAACAACAACAACAACAACAACAACAACAACAACAACAACAACAACAACAACAACAACAACAGCAGATACAAGATCAGCAGCAGCAGCAGCAGCAGCAGCAGCAGCAGCAGCAGCAGCAGCAGCAGTGTGCAAAAGTGGATAGTGGCGATTGTGAGAACGCTGCGGATCCCAGTGTCACCCACAGTGAGGAGCAGCTGCAAGCAGAGCACAGCCAGGCACAAGGAGATGATGGTAATGAGGGAGTGAGTCTTCGTGGCTTTACGTATGCGTTTCGGCAGAAGGGTGGGTTGCGGTGCATTCTGTCGGATGCAGAGTGGCTGGTGTTCAGCATCACTGGCGCAAAGTCGGTCCCTGCCGTCTCGTGTCGGTTGGAGGGCCCAGCGCCGCCAGATCTCGAAGCAAGATCAGCAACCATCGCACACAAGCTTCATCAAACCTTGGTCGGCAGCCATGTGGTGCTACCACTTCGCCTCACCCCCGCCTGGCTCCGCACACATTGTGACCTGAGAGACTTGCCCAATCTCTTGCTGTTCCCCACCCACGCAGAATCAGCAGCGGGCATAGTCACCAGTGTGGACAGCACCTTTGCCGCAAAGATCACCCAGCAAACCACTCTTACCCTCCTACCTTCCACAGCCGCAACTCACCCCCAGATGCCGAGCGACTCAGATCAGGACGAAACACTCCACACACAACCACAACAACGACAAGAGCGGCGGCAGCAGCAGGACGCTGACAACTCTTCCCGTCTGGCGGGATTGACTGAACCTTTGGCGCAGCTCTGTGACATTGTCAGGTGTGTATATCGTGCATGAGAGTTGCTGGTACAGGCGCACCGCTGCGTGTGCATGCTTGCCGAGTATGTACTTGATGAGTGCGTCCACTGTGTACAGTAATAACGCATTGGCTTTGTGTGCACGTGACCGTACTCCAACACACACACACATGCACACCACACCGCACACAACTCACACACACACACACACACACACACACACACACACACACACACACACACACACACACACACACACACACACACACACACACACACACACACGGCACCAGCCTGCCTTTCTCCCACGGCGCGCTGTTCGCGACGCTGGGCACCGACCCGCCGCGTGGTGTTCTCCTGCACGGTCTGTCGTTGCTGTTCAGGTGCTGAGCACGGTGCTGAATGAGATGGACGGCATCGAGGCCGTTGGTCACGTCATCGTCGTCGCCGCCACCAACAGGTCAAGCAGCCGTGCTGACGGTGGCGGCTTCAGTGCAACTGTCGTCTTACCCCATCGTTTCACCACAAATCTCAACCACACCATCCCATATCAACCACGACCCTCTCTTCTCACCACCACCACTCCCTCTTCTCACCACCACCACCACCACCACCGCTGCGTGCAGACCGGACATGCTCGACTCTGCGTTTCTCCGCGCGGGCCGTATGGACAGCATCATCTTCGTCCCGCACCCGGTCGGCGCACCCGCTCTCTCGCACCACCTTGCACGCAGTTGCTGTTGAAGACGAGTGTAAAGTCATGGCGACGATGGTTTCACGTACTGCTACGCTCTCATGGATCAACCAACTCACACACACACACACACACATACACGCACACATGCACGCACACGCACACGCACTCACACACACACACACGCACACGCACACACACATGCACGCACACACACACATGTAGGACGCTGAGAGCCGGCTGTCCATTCTGCAAATCTACACACGTTCGATGCCCGTGGACGGCACAGTTGATCTCCACGCGATTGCGCAGGACACAGAATACTACACAGGCGCAGGTGTGCATGTGTATGTCTCTGTGTGTGCCTCTGGTCTGCACATGTGCCTTACAACAAATCAACAACAACAACAACAGCAACAACAACAACAACAACAACAACAACAACTTAGACAACACCACCACCACCGCCACCACCACCACCACCACCACCACCGCCACCACCACCACCACCACCACCACCACCACCACCAACAACAACAACAACAACAACAACAACAACAACAACAACAACAACAACAACAACAACAACAACAACAACAACAACAACAACACCAACAACACGTTCTCACCATCAACACACCGCAACGCAACCCGACACCACCAGACCTCAAAGCGCTGTGCATGGAGGCCGGCATGCAGTCGCTGCGACGAGACAGAGCGACCGGCTCTGTTCAGCACTGCGATTTCACACACGCACGCGCTCGCGTGCAGCCGTCACTTACGCGCGAAAAGGTTGAGTTCTACGCAAGCCTGCGGCCAAACCAGAAGCAGCAGCTGTTCTAGGAAAGCGATATGGAGCAACTGTGTGTGCGTGTGTGTGTGTGTGCGTGTGTGTGTGTGTGCGTGTGTGTGTGTGTTTCTGTGCGTGTGTGTGCGTGTGTGTGTGTGTTCAAGGAAGTTGACTGTCGATTGTGCAGCGCCGTGTCGTTCTCCTGCTTGACTGCGTGCTGTTTGCATGTGTTTATTGCATTGTACATTGAGTAGGACAACTGAACATATCGAAAGAAATCAAGTTCATGACACACACACACACACACACACACACACACACACACACACACACACACACACACACACACACACACACACACACACACACACACCAACAACCTCCCCCACCACACACAACTCCCCTCCCTCCCTCCCCTCCACATGTGGTGCTACTTGTGCGGGTGGCGCTTGGTGGCTGTCCCCGTGTACGCCTGGAACGTTCGCCGGAGTCGACGCTTGAGCATGGGCGACGCAATTGTGTCTGCGCGCGTCTTGCGCCACTGCTCATTGAGCAGCGTCTCGCCCTTCCTGCTCTGCCCGTGCAAGAACGACTTCTTCGCCTCGTCCGCCTTGCGTCGAATCTCGGGCAGGTCGGTGAACTTGAGTGGGGGTGCTCCCGGGCCACGCCGGCCCCCGCGCATGGGCACGTGCGGTAGGCAGTAGCTGCGGCGGTGATAACGGCTGCGGTGCAGCTGCTTCTGCTGTGGATCCTGCGACACTGTCGTCCATGGCGGCGGGCGTGGTGGCACGTCGCTGACAGAGAGATGCTGCGGGTGGTGTTGAAGGTGTTGCAGCTGCTGGTGGTGTTGGTGGTGGGGCGGGCCTGGTGGTGGCAGCATGGACGATTGGCGGGAAGCGAGGGAGCTGCGACGCGAATCAGAGACAATGGACCCGAGCGACGCAATCGACAGGTGCGACGTCTTGGCCGCCAGCGACGAGCGTCCCCGTGCACGCGATGGCGGTGACGGCGGTGATGTTGACGATGACGATGACGATGACGATGACGATGACGTGTTCGTTGGTGTGGCTTCACTGTCAGGCGTTGTGTTCGTGTCAGCAGCACCGATATCGTCACTGTTCGTCGCAGGGTCCATACCAGGATGTGAATTTGGTGACTGTGATGCACACGAGTCCTGACAGTTGCCACCACCACCATCGTTATTGTTGCCGATGCGATTTGCAGTGAGAAGAACAGCAGTGCACTCGTCCACATTCAGCGATATCCGGCTGCCGCCACCCCTACTGCAGTCATTGCTGTTGTTGTTGTTGTCATGTTTTGTGGCGTCGCCACGCTGCTGCTGGTTGTGTGGTTTGCCTGAAGTGTTGGCACCAGTGCCAGCACTGTCAGTGCCACCATCATCACCATCACCACCTTCATCGTCACACTCTGTCATGCAAATGGTGGGCACGCCAACTGCGCCCCTGCTCGCCTCCGCAACATCACTGGTGTTACCGTCGCTGTCCACCACGATCACGACCGGCTGCCCCGTGCGGCCGCTACCACTGTTCCCACCACCCCCGTCATCGCGCCCTTCGTCCTGCTGCTGCTGCTGTTGTTCCTGCTGCTGTTTGCTCTTGTGTTTCAGCCTGCTGCGCTTTCCCCTCCGCTTGCGCGATGATCCACGGGATCCAGATCGCTTGTGCTCGTTCGGCGTCGTGTTCACAAACAGGCGCATGGACGGCGCCTGCGCATATGGGGATGAGCTTGCCTTGCCCGCCGCCTTGTTCTCGCTCTTCAGGTCAATCCAATGCTTCTGAAACTCGCGCTGTGTGAGCCCGACGAGGCGCCACCCGGCCGCAAAGTCGCCTGCACAGGCGGTAAGAGATGCGAAAAACGCATGCAGACACAGCGGTGAGCAGTGTGCGTGCGCGCTCACGAGCCAGTCAGCGACACACGACATACAGACACAGTTGTGTGAATGAAGAGTTGTCCAGCCAACGGGCTGCATTGGCTCTCACACACACACACACACACACACACACACACACACACACACACACACACACACACACACACACACACACACACACACACACACACACACACACACACACACACACACACACACACCACGCACACCCTTACCGATGACGTGTGGATGGTGCTTTGCTTTGTTACGGTAGTAGCGCTCCAGCTCGGCCATGTGCCGCGCCTTCTTGCTTCCGATGCTCGAATGCTTGTGGCATTGCACAAACTTGGTTACCGCCACAAACAACAGCGCCTCCTTGGGAACCTGCAGTGCAACACAAGCGCAAGATAAATACACACACAGACACAGACACACACACAGACACAGACACAGACACACACACACACAGACACACACACACAGACACACACACAGACACACACACACACATCGTCAAATCCAACAACACTCATGAGTGGAAAGCCCTTCTGACACGCAAGCACGAGTCAGCAACCGTGTCATCTCGCCCCACCGCTCCAGCACAACGCACAACAGCCCCAGCCTTCTCCTCCCTCGCACAAAAACCCCGCACACACACACACACACACACACACACACACACACACACACACACACACACACACACACACACACACACGCACACACGCACACACGCACACACACACACACGCAAACAAAAGCGCAACCTTGGCAGACGCGGGCTTGTTTGCGGTGAGTGTCTCGGAGTACTTTTGGTTGCTTGTCATGTAGTTGAGGAAAGCTTCAAAGGAGACGTGGCCGAGATGCTGCGGGTCGATCTCGTTCATGGCCTCGTGCACCTCCCATTCCTCAATTGTCAGCCCAAGCTGGCGGGCGCGCGTGTACAGCTCGCCCTGCGTGATTGTGCCGCCCTTGTTGAGGTCGAAGAACCCAAACACCTCCTTGAACGCCGCCTTCTGTGCCGGCGTCAACGTATGCGTGTCGCGCGGCATGCTGGCGTTGGTGCTGCTTGCGTTGGTGCTGCTGGCGTTGGTGCTGCTGGCGCTGATCGTGAGGGTACTGGTCGTACTGCTGGCCCTGGTGCTGGTTCTGTGGTTGCTGGTGTGGTGTTCTGTGGTTTCACGTGTTGGTGTTGCTGCTGGTACCCCCCTTTTGACTGCCGTGTAAGGACTTCACGGTCAATCTTGTATGTTTGGTTGCCTTTGTCCTTCTCCGTGTGATTCGTATCTTGGAGGTCGATGTTGTTGCCGTTGTTCTGCGATTGTCGCCGCGCACAAATCGCCGCTCCCTTGTCTCCCTTATCCTGTGGTGTTGAACCTGCACCACCAGCCAACACGAACTCCTGTGGAATGGACGCCATCCTGCAAGCCAGTGCGTGTTGTGTATGCGTGCGTGTGTATGTGTGTGTGTGTGTGCTTGAGGTTCAGCTCTTGCTTTGTTGGTGCGGAATCAAAGATGAAGGAGTGAGCAGCGTTGTGTTGGACGAGTCAAGTTGGGAGGATTTGTCAATGACTTCAGTTAATAATCTACAACTGGCCGTGAGCGGGCAACAGCACAATGTCGGCTGCGTCTGCGTTGAACGTGTTGATGGGTTTGCCCGAGACGGCAAACAGGCTGGACGGAGCCGTCTGTGTGCAATCGGAGGGAAACGTGGACGCCTCCATCTTTCTGCACAGCTTTGTTCAAATGTACATGAAAGGTGAGCGGTTGTGTGTGTGTGTGTGTGTGTGTGTGTGTGTGTGTGTGTGTGTGTGTGTGTGTGTGTGTGTGTGTGTGAGTGTGAGTGTGTGTGTGTGTGTGTGTGTGTATGTGTGTGTTTGCGTGTGTGTGTTTGTGTATGTGTGCGTGTTTGTGTGCGTGTGTATGTGTGCATGTGCGTGTGTCTGTTGCGTGTGTGTTTGAGTGTGCGTGTGTGTATGTGTGTGTGTTGTGTGTTGCGCATGTATGTGTTTGGACAACTGCTCATTACACACTCTGATGCACTGTGCGTTGTTGCAGGTGGTGGCCGGGCCGTCATCATTTCGTTTTGCCAGACCTACCATCACTATCAGCTCATTGGCAAGAAAATGGTCAGTGCGTGCGTTTACACTGTGTGTGTGCATACTATGTGGGTGCGCGCGTGCATGTGTATGTGTGTACTTGACAACTTCCATGACTTTTTGCCTTTCCCATCTCCCTTGCCTCAAATGGCCTGCTGCTGCTACTTTTTGTCAAGGGTTACAACTTGGATGGCCCCGGGTCCCCGCCAACCAAATCCTTGTTTGTTGATGGCCTCACGGATTTGTGCGTCGAGCAACACGACGAGCAGCTGTGGGGGCCAACCCAGTTTCCCACCATCACCAACTTCTTGTCAGTCATATTGTGTGTGTGTGTGTGTGTGTGTGTGTGTGTGTTTGTGCGTGTGCGTGCGTGTGTGTGCTGACACCCGTGCTTCTGTGCTCATCCTTTTCTCGCTGTCCTCTTGTGCTGTGTTTTGTGTGTTCAGCCTTACACACCACCATCGGTTACTGATCACGTTCATTGCAACTCACACTGTTTACTTGACCCTCAAACAAAAACACACTCCACAACGCGCAACAACAACAACAACAACACACACACACACACACACACACTTTCACAACCCAATTGTAGGAAAGAGTCAGCATCTGCCGTGACGTCGATATCCAAGTTCATTGCAGCTCAAGATCAACACGATGGTGGCAATCACGCGACTGTGGTCGTCGTGGATGGGATAGCAGAGGCCGTGGCCGCCGGGGTGACCGCACACAACATGCTGCGGTTTCTGCACCAGCTGCGGGCAGTGGTCGAGGCGCGCGGGGACGGCTCGGCGCTCGTGTTCCATCTCCACGCCGACGCCCTCCCAGGTTGGTGCCAACCACACACGCACACGAACCCGCAAAGTGACCGAAAACAACAAAAGCAACAGCACCACCGCCACCACTTCCACACGCCGCTCCACTTTTCGCAAAAGGACACAACACAGGCGTTCACAGAGTTTGGGGGTCGTAGCCTGTGTAACGCGAGTGTGACGATGGAGGAAGAGGGGAAAGAAGAATGGACACAAAGGAATGGGGCTGAGATGGAAGAGACAAGAGAGAAACAATCGATGCGCTGTGCCGCCACCACCACAATGGCTTGCTGACGTTCCGCCGCTGCTGTTGTTGTTGTTGCTTGTGGTCTGCAGAGACAGGCGACGTGATTCTGACGCAGCTTCCGTTCATGGCCAAGACCGTCCTGACGGCAAAGGCCCTCGCCACGGGGGCATCGGCAAGCGTCCACGGCTTGGTAAGCTGCACGCACACGCACGTCGCCATGTCATGGTTGGCGCTGATTTGCACCTGCCCAGCACGCACGCCTGTTTGCGGCTGCGGCTGTCTTGTCGCTCTGCACGTATGCCATCAACTCGGCCATGTCATCCAGCACCCAGCAGTGGGCGTCCTCATATCAGCGCGCCACTCACTCACATATCCACTGCATGCACTCACGTATCCACTGCATGCACCCACAACCACCACCGCCACCACCATCATCATCATCATCATCGTCGTCGTCACGGTGGTACAGCTGTCGTGCCAGCGGCGGGATGGGGCGGCCGTCACATTGCCGGCGCGTGATGTCCACTACAAGACAAAGGAGACAGGCATCGCCCTCTTCCCTATCGGGTCCGGCGCAGGCTTGCTGTAACAAAGGCGTGCCGTCATGCTTGCGGTGGCGGTGGCGACAGCAGACACTCACGCCACTGGTGCTGCCGTTTCTGATGCTGTTGGCGACGCTGATGGTGGTGAGGGATGACAGCGGCGCGTGCGTCCCGGTGACGGGTGTCGCCAGGACTGCAGCGACAGAGAGGCGGCTGGTGTGGCGGCAGCAACGGCGGACGAGGAACAGGACGCGTGCGGGAAAGTGACAGGCGGTGGAAGGAAGGGGGAGCAACAACAAGGGAACAAAGGGAGAAAGAAGGAGGGGAGGGGGCGTGCTTTGCACCTGCAGAGAGTGAGCTTAAATAAACGACGGATATCGACGAACAACAATCATCAGTCGCTTGCTGATCTAGAATCAACACACGACGGCAATGCGGACAACAAAAAGCGGGTCAAGTAGTTTGCGCCATCTAAAGGAAACGGAACACAACGAAAGAAAACACACACACACACACACACACACACACACACACACACACACACACACACACACACACAGTTGGGTTGGATATTATTGCTGCGCAACCCAGTTCTGAACGGGCGGGGTGAGCAGTGGGGCATCGTGTCTGTGCTGCTGTTGTGGCGGCTGCGTTGGCTGACCCCACCGGCTCTTGCGTGGCTGCTGCTGCTGCTGCTGCGGTGGCTGCTGCCTGTTGGCGTGCGGAGGGGGTGGCCGGTGTGGGGCCGGTGCGGGAGCGGAAGTGGGGAGCACACCCCCGGGCTTTGGCGCCTGCTGTGCGTGCGCGTGCGCCTGTGCCTGCGTGTATGGGTGTGGCGGGAACGGCGGGCGCATCATGCGAGGATGCTCCGGTCGCATCCCTGGCCGATGCGGTGGCGGCGGCATGGGCGGACGCATGTGGGGTGCTGGCGGCATGTGTGGCGGCCTGTGCTGCTGTGGGTGGTGCGGGTGTGGTGGGCGGTGTGGCGGAGAGGGGCGTGCCATACCTGGAGCAACAGCCGACGGCACCTGGGCTGCGCGCTCAGGATGGACATTGTCCGGTTGTGGTTGATGCTGCTGCTGGTGCTGCTGCGGCTGAGGCTGAGGATGCCGACCAGTAGCAGCAGCAGCAGCAGCTGGCGCGTGGCCGTTGGCGTGCCCAACATCCCGGCTGCGAATCGGCGAGCGTGAGCGTGAGCGGGACCTGCGGCGTACACCGCCATCATCGCCGTCACGTCGCCCACTGCCACTGCCATCACGGCGGTCCGGGCTCATGCTGCTGGCGCGCGTGCGGCCCTTGTTGCGGATGGCAAACACGTCATCCAGGTCCTCGTCGTCCTCGTGGCGCCGCCCACCGCGGCCAAACGGGCGGTGGGGTGGTGCTCCTCGCTCACGGTCACCGCGATCACCGCGATCACCACGATCACCGCGATCACCGCGATGACTGCGGTCCCGCCTGTCGTAGCCTCTGCGCGGTGGGGGCGAGCGTGAGCGGCGGCGTGGGCGCGCGTCGCGGAGATCGCGGTCCTCCCAGACGAGGCGTGGAAGGCCGTCGGCGTCCTCGCCCGGCTGGCGAAGGGCGGGGGCAACGTGGCCCGGGCGCAGGCCGCGGGGGGCGCGGTCGCCATAGGCAAGCTGAAGGAGGTCCGGCTGCGTGCGGAAGTGGACGTGCGGGAAGCGGTCAAGGTCCTGGAGGAGGTGTGCGGGGCAGGTGGCGCGGTCGACAACACAGCCCTGGGTGTAGCCGCGGAGGTCGGTGGGCTCCACATCGCCGAGGGGCAGGAAGGAATAGCCTGTTTGCACATCCCAGCCAATGTTGTTGCGCTGCCGGAACCCGCGCGCAAAGTTTGTCTGTTGGGGGAAGCAAGAGGAGACAGATGCAGACAGAAAGAGTGGAAGGGAAGGGAGGGGAAGAGGAAGAGACACGAGGAAGATCGCACACAAGGGTTTAACGGGACAACATCAATCACACCACAACACAAACACAAACCGACAACAACAGTGACCATGCGGGTCACACAAAACAAAACAAAACACATTCACCACCAATTTGAACACGACACAACCAAAATGAACACAGCACAATTGGGTGAGGCGGGTGAACGTGCTTTCAATGTGCGCTTGACACGCGTGCATGAGTGTGCGTGGTGTTCGTTCGAACGCGCGCGTGTGTGTCTCGTGCGTCTCGTGTGTTGGCTGTCGCTCGCGTCAAACAAGAGGCAGTAAAGATAACATGGGAGAGAGGAGGGGGCAACGAGCTTGTTGTGTTCTCGACTTTCAATGCAAGGACCAACTTTTCGTTCATAGCGCAGGCGAGGGGAGACAACCAAAGGCAATGGCAGGCAGGACAGTGCAGGCAGAAGCATGGGCAGGGCGAGCACACGCGAGCAAAGGACCTGGATGGTGCGGCCAAACGCCTCCGTGTTGTTGAGCGCATTGTGCGCCGCCCCCGTCGCCTGGTGCGAGCTCAAAATCACAAACGCTTGGTGCTTCGCAGGATCAACCTGTGTGTGTCGTGTATGGTGGTGTCGTGTGTGTGTGTGTGTGTGTGTGTGTGTGTGTGTGTGTGTGTGTGTGTGTGTGTGTGTGTGTGTGTGTGGTTGTGGTGTGTGTGCGTGCCGTATGGTTGTGTCGTGTGTGTGTGTGTGTGTGTGTGTGTGTGTGTGTGTGGTGATGTAATTGTGTCGTAGTGCGCGACGGGTGGTGCGTTGCGTTTTGTGATGCGGTGGGAACGCGCGCCAATGTCGAACAAGCGCAACGTGTCGGGTTGTTCACGGCGTTGCGTTGCGTTGCGTTACGGGTTTCAGAATGCAAGGTGTGCCACGTGACAGGGTTGTGTGTGATGCAATGGGAACGCCACACAGTCACACAACCACACAGCCGATTCGTTGTTCATTTCGGGTCGGGTGTTGGAGATGCACAGTCGAGGAGCAGCAAGACGACAAGGGGAAACGGGTCGTTTGTGAGCCGATGGTCTGTGCGCAAGGTAAAAGCACGTCGAAAGAGCGACTGCACACAAACAGCAGGTGCAACCAAGCGTGCGTGTGCGTATGTGCGTGTGTGTGCGTGGTGTAAAGCATGGCTGCAGACGCACCTTGATGTGGCCCGGCTTGAGGACACCGTAGTCGCGGACGAGGCGCAGCACTTGCTCCTTGGTGATGTCAGACGGCAGACTGCCAATCCACAGCGTCGAGCTCGCCACTAGAAACACACACACACACACATGCAAACACACACACAGAAGCAAAAAACAAAACACAGACAGGAAGGTACACAAGAGAGCAAGTGAGTGACATGACAGCAAAGAACCACGCAAACGCTGGCTGCACAGCTACACTGTTCGCTTTGGACAGGGCCAAATACAAAATGGCAGATCAACTCTGATGCGATGCGACTCGCAACCCCCCCCCCTTTTCCACACGCACACACACACACACACACACACACGCACGCACACACACACACACACACACACGCACGTCCACAACGGACGTGGTGGTGTCTTTTCTTTTTGACCTACGTCGAATGCAGCCCTCGGGGCATTCGTTAGCGGCGGGCGGCATCTGTCGCAGAATCTCCTCGGGCGACATGTCGGCCTTGGGTGGCGGCGCACCAAGCACACTGTTAGCCTGGTGCTGCTGCTGCTGCCGCTGCTGCTGTTGCTGTAGCGCGTGCAGGGTGTGGCTGTGTTGGTCGTATGTCTGTTGCTGCTGCGGTGCGGGTGGAGGGGTGTGGGTGGTGGTGGTGGTGGTGGCTGGTGGCTGCGCAGCCTGACCCAAGAGCGCGGCGCGCGGGTCTTGCACGCGCTGCGGTGGTGCAGCTTGTTGTTGCTCACTCGATGGACGCGGGGTGGTGCTTTCATCGCCTTCATTTACAATGGCAGACAGCTGGGCAAGGATATCAGACTCCGACACTCCGCCACCTCCCTGGCCAAACAAGGCCGCCAACGAACCAAGAGCATTTGCATCAGCAGATGCATTGGTGGGCGCTGCTGACGATGGTGTCTCGCCCTGCGCAGGCGGCTGTGTGTGTGATTGCGGCTGCTGCTGTTCCGCTGGTGCAGCTGATGTTTGCGCAGGTGGCGGCGTTGTGCGAGCACCACCAGCAGAATCGTCCTCATCATCGTACGCAAAGCTGTTCAAGATGCTCTGTGGTGGAGTCAAACAGCAACAACAAAGAAATAGAAAGAGAGGGATCGTGTGTGTGTGTGTGTGTGTGTGTGTGTGTGTGTGTGTGTGTGTGTGTGTGTGTGTGTGTGTGTGTGTGTGTGTGGATGTGTGGATGTGCGTGTTGTGAGGGAGGAAAGGAAGATTCGCGTTAATTCGGCGAAATACCGTGGCATGTGGCTCTGAACAATGCACAGAAAGAGAGACAGAGGGGCAAGGGAGCCGGCACGTGGAGACGACAAGGCGCGCGGAGAAGCGATAACGCTCTCTCCCATTCCCGCCAAGCTCTCCATCTCTCCCTTTCTCTCTTTCTCACACACAGCGCATACAAACGACAAATACAAAAAGAGCACATTAACACAAACAACGAACACAACATGCAAACTAACCTCAATGGGATCTGGGTGTCCCTGTGTGTCTGGTTTCGCGGCGGGTTTGGGGGCAAAATCCTCGCGCAGCGCGGGCGGAACCAGCGAATCAATCAGCTGATGGAAGCGGGGGGGGGGGAGGCACAACGAGACAGAGGTGAGAGGCGAGACGACCGATGGTAGGGGCACGCGCAAGTCATGGACAGGGGGGGGGGATGGTGGAAAAGGGGTTGAAGCAGGGTGAGGGGAAAGGCACGATGTGGATTGTGTCTAGACGCGAGTGCTTGGTTGGAGGGAAGAAATGACGACGGCGGCCATGCTCAGTGCACGGCAGAAGAATTGAGCATTTGCATGCAGTGCTGAAGGCGGCCACAAAAGATGATGCTAAAGTGCTCACCTCCTCTGAATAGACGTTGTTCTTCTTCCACAGTTTCAGCACTTGCATCACGCGTTTCTATGGGGGGGGGGGGAACAGCAGCGTTGTGCGTGTGAGTTTTTTTTTGGGGGGGGGGGGAAGCAAGCAGGACACTGAGTCAGTGGCTGGCGAAAGGAGGTGCAACACGCAACACACAACGCAAGGCTGCTGTCACCAGCAGAACGGCACAGGCACGCGCACAAGCACACGCACACCCACACGCACATACAAGCACACGCACACCCACAAACAAGGCGAACATGTACACGAGCACACAAGCGCACACACAAACAAGGCGCACAAGCGCACACTTCAGCAGACGTGTAAGGCAGGTCGCAGCGATCAACACACCTGATCTGCGGAGCTGCACTTGAAGAGATGCTGGAAGGTTGGCTTGATGGCCTTTCCGAATCGAGGCGCATACACGTCCTCGTCTCCATACTGTCATACATGAGCGTTGATGGACACATTGCACAGCGCGAGTCGCAGCAGAGGGGGGAGCTGTGTGTGAACGCAACACGATGACGGAAATACACGCGGGAAGCTGAAACACACGCAAATGCGCACAAGAACCTTCACACGCAAATTACATACACCCTCCAACAACAACAACAACAACAACAACAACAACAACAACAACAACAACAACAACAACAACAACAACAACAACCCCACTCCCCCACACACACACCTTGTGCCGAGAGTTGTTGATGATGGAGTCGATGACATAGAGCAGAGGCACTTTGAGATCGGAGCGAGCCTTGGAGATGGACCGCTCAATGTGGAACACCACAAACTTGAAGTACTGTCAACGCGAAACAAGAGAAGAGATAAGGAAGACGTGGTGGGTGGGTGAGTAGGAGAAGGAGTGTCAAAAGAGGGCAAGGCTTGACAAAGACACGAACAAAGCCACGAACAAAGCGATGACGGGTCGTCGCGACAAGAGCAGGCTTGGTGAGCTGTCCTGTGCTTACCTTGAAGTAGTCGGTGAGTGCAAGTTTGGTCAAGGTGCGAATCTTGTCTTGCGACACGGGTGCCTTGAGAGAAGCAAGCTGCACGGAAAAGAAGAGAAGCATATAAGCGTGAGAGAAGGTGTGTGTGGTATGAACAACGGCAGCGCAGCAACCTTTCACACAGCCCTCCACTATCCACGAGACACAATTACAGCAACACAAACAAACACAGCACGGGCAGAACGCACACACCTCTGCTTCAAAGGCTGGGATGGGCGTCTTTGGCATGATGGCTGGCTGCGCTCCACCCAGCTTGGTTTAGGCGGGGTGCGCAGGGTATCTTTGACCACAGAGAGAGAGTGTGTGTGTGTGTGTGAGTGTGTGTGAGAGAGAGAGAGAGAGAGCCTTCTCCTGTCTGTTTGCTTGGCTTCATACACTCACTTAAGCTTGGTCGCTGACAAACACGAGCACACAGAGACGCTGACACAAGGGCGGTTATGGGAGCAAGGCAGCCAAGGGAGCGTGGCTGGTTGTTTTTGGTTTTGCTTGGGTCGTCGTTCGCACCACTTGGCCTGATGTGCTTGAGCGAGGGCAATCGACGATCATCAGCCGAAATCATGGCAAATTAGCACAAGACTCATAATTTTACGTGAAAAAGTCACCCCGATGTATCAACCGGGCACTTCGCTCGCCCATCCGGACCACGACCAAGATGCCGCGAATTTCAACGAGAAGCAAACGAACAGTTGAGGCAAAGGCGGACGAACGCGAAATGAAGCAAACGCGACGATGAAGGAGGAGAAGAGTTGCTGTGTGTTGTTTGATGCTTTGTTCTTGGGGCGAGGGGAAACGCGAGGCGGCGGTGGGCGGTCTTGTGTGTGCGATTTGCCTCTCCTCTTCTTCTTGCCAACAAGCAAGAGCACCTGCAGCAAGTCACCAACTCGCCAACCAGCCAAGAAGCAGCTCAAGAAGCCTGCTGCGCTCTGACGATCCTTTCATCCAGCCAAGCAAGGTGGGAGGGAGTGATGGTGCTTGTGAATTGCACATGCATGTGTATGCGTGTGTGTGTGTGTGTGTGTGTGTGTGTGTGTGTGTGTGTGTGTGTGTGTGTGTGTGTGTGTGTGTGTGTGTGTGTGTGAGCGCTCAACGGCGATGAAGTTCTGTGTTTTGTTTGACACCTCATCTCACGCTCACGTCCACCTCACCACAACTCGCACGCGAACGCTATTACCTCATACCTCATACACACACACGCACGCGCGCGCACAATTGTGCAGAGCATCATCATGAACTTTGCCAAGCCGGAACACAGCGGCGGCGTGGCGTCCATGCCTGCCAGACGACTCAAGTCGGGGCCCAACAGCCCCTCGCACCAAATTCCCACCACTGCCTACAGCCGCAGCTCAAAAGCCAACGCCTCCACCAACAGCGTGGTCTTCCAGAGCACAGACTACTCAACCGGCATCAGTGCGGGAGCAACGGCAGACGGTGTCCGCAACAACACCGCCAGCCCCGTCGTTGTGGTCACGCACAAGCCAATAGCCCGCGTGGGCGAGGCATCGCGACACGTGTCCCCAACAGAGCTGGGGCCAAAGGCGAACAGTTCTGCTTTGTATCTGCAACGAAACATGCGCTTGGAGTCTGAACCACACGCGCGCACCACCTGCGCCTTTGAACGCATCCAAGAGACCGAGTACAGCAGCGCATACGACACGTCTGATGACGAGCAGGCGACATATTTGGAGCACATGGGCGCCCACTTTGATGATGCCGTGTGCACGGATCGAGACAGTTCTCCCCAAACCACGGACAAGAACCAGCGCTCACAAGTAGAAGCACCACAAAGGCACATGTCCCAATCAAAGAAGAAGGGCATCAAGTGAGTGTGTGTGTGTGTGTGTGTGTGTGTGTGTGTGTGTGTGTGTGTGTGTGTGTGTGTGTGTGTGTGTGTGTGTGTCGTCGT